TCTCTTGTCCTGCTTCCTAACACAACAAGGGGCAGTACTACGTTTCCATAGGAGTTCCTTAGGTATATCCATCAGCAAATTTGTCAGTGGTAACCCACCGCAACTCCTCAGATCCAAAAGACTCTGCAGGGCTTAGGTGTTAGATGTCGCAAATCCATAACTGGAGCGATCCTCTGCAAGGCTACATGGTGCGGCTGGCCGAACTTCTCGGTCAAGGCTGACATGGTGTCTGTGTAAGAGTTAATAATGGAGTTGGCGATGAGACAGGCCTCTTCAAGTTTCACATGATCCACAAGAATCTGATACTTGAAAAGCTCTGTAGCTTCAACGGGTAGCAGGTTTGCTAAGGCTAATTTCAGCCTAGAGAACTCCATTGGGTCCTAATGGACAAAGAGAGGAATTTTCGGTGCGGCCCCCTGTACTCCTCCCAGAGTCGCTGATACTGGTGAGAACTGTGTGCCTTGGGCAGGATGTGGTTGGATCGTATCAGGCCTGGTTGGGTACTGAGATGAGGATCCCGCTTCGGTGTGATACATACTGGGCTGTTGATGTGAGATGGGCGAGTAGGGTTTTGGCCTCGGGGTGTGGAATCAGGCGTCATACTGTTCAGGACCTCGTCTAGGCTGAGGGGGGTTCAGGCTCCGAGAGGTAGTATGTGGACGAGTGTTGGCTGTGATGCTGGACGTTACACTGTCCCTCATGAGCTGTAGCTCGCTCATCATTCGGTCTATGACGATGACCACTCGCTGCTCCTCGGCAGCCTCAGACATTGGAGGGTAATCAGACGAAGGCCATTGTGGAGGGGGCAGTCCCTCGTCATACTCCTCTTCCTCTAGGGCTAACGAGTCGTCCGGTAAAGGAAGGGGTGGCATTGACCATTGTTTCAAGAACTGATCCTGCTGCACTGCTACTTGCTCTCTGGCTGAGGCTGTTAAATCACAATTCCCTTCTAGTTTCATAAGGTGAGGTGGAACTGTACTGCATGCTCTCTCTGTGTAGCCCGCTCGGCTCTGCTCCCTCCTCAGTGTAGGGCAAAGGGGTATGTGGCCATCTAGTGTTGTCAAAAGTACCGACTTTGGTACCAAGTCGGTACTGAAATTTTAAAAATGTGACGCTTTGAGCGGGATCGTAAACACCTCTGATTTCCCATTGTGCTCACGCCCTCATCAAATATGTCTGTGATTGGCTACAATGGTCAGCGCTTCAAAAACATGTTGTAAATATACTTCAATGACGCTCTTCACTGAGCGCTTACACAGATACACACGGGAGTGTTTGTTAGCAGGCATCTATCAGCAGACCGGTCCGCTAATAGACGCCTGCTTGTCCTTTCAAACGCTCCCGCTTTCAAAACACTTTCAAACACTTCCATGTGCTCTCAAATGCTCCCGTGCATTGATCATTGTAGCCAATCACAGACATATCCGATGAGCACGTAAACACAATGGCCAATCAGAGGTGTTTACGATACTGCTCAACAACACTCAAAGCGTCACATTTTTTAAATTTCAGTACCGACTTGGTACCGAAGTCGGTACTTTTGACAACACTATGGCCATCCTAGGCTGTCACCTGATGGAGTTTTGGTTCCTTGCCACTGTTGCCTTGGCTTTTGGCTTGCTTAGTTGGGGACATTTAATAGTCAACAATATTATTGATCTGCCTTACTTAAGGTGGACGATGACGCAATTTTCTTCTAGAAACAAACTTTGTTGTATTATTTCATGTTATCACTGTGAAGCTGCTTTGATACAATATGTATTGTAAAAAGCGCTATATAAATAAAGGTGACTTGACTTGACTTGACTTGTGTCGTTGAAGCTCTCCTCAGAGCTAGGGGTCAAAATCATCCTGTGCTTTGGGGGGCCTACTCCACTTCACACGAGGCTGTGAGCTCCACTCTTCGCCTCTAGGCATGTGTGGTGCAGGACTGGCATGTGGTGGGCCACGTCTCTTCGGTTGCACTGACCTCAAATAGGATGGCTGTCTTAACTGACGCTTGGGCAGAGAGGGTGGGGCCCACGATGCTTCATCACTCTGTTGAATACTCTCAGCACAGCTGTGATCTGGCTCGAAGGACCACAAATTTAGCGAAGGGCTACCTGAAGCTGTTAGGGGCTAGTTTTAGATCACAGTGAATCAGGTGTGTCTGTCATAACACCACAGAGTAAAGTATTCATTTTAACTGATTTATTATCACGGGTATGCCTCAGAGTGACGAGTTAGAGTCGATGAGGCTTCCTTTGCGGCATCCAGAAGGAATAAATCTCGTTGGCTTAGTTTGAACCTTGGGAGGACTGCAGATAAGCATTCGAGAATTGATATGAATGATACAATGTGTGAGCAGTTTGAGCACATTCAGAGGAGAAACCTGAGGTACGGTCAGAGTGGGTTTGACTCATAAGTGTACTGGGTGCATATCAGCTGCCGTAGACTTGGATGGTATGATTTTGGTTAAGGATGTGTTTGGTTTCTCTAATAACAGCAACATCATAATATATTACCATCATTTACATGCAACTATATGTAAGCTGCTCCCCTCATACAATAACAACAGCATATTCACTTATATTGTCACCCACATTATTCAAAATAACATCTTCCATCGCATTTACTGTCATTATTTATCAACATGAATCATTAAACAATATAAACATTATAACTATGAACATCGTACATTGACAGATAAGTGATTAGAGCTAGCACGGGTGAATTAGCATCGTCATGTAACATTACTTCATACGTCATAACTGATAACGAGCATAAATCAGTGAAACATAGTAGGAATAACAGTTCTCACTTTTATAGGATGCACACAAACACAAGATACATCCAATCTGAGGCTGATAATAACTTTGATGCACGTCTTCAGGGGTCATGAACACAACAAACCCAATCGCTAGCAGCAGCTGATGCAATCTGCCGTTTCTCTCCATGCCGAATGAACTGTCTCTTCCGGCCGCTCGCGCTAACGTACTTTCATAATAAAAGTCACCACTAGGGTAGCACATCATTAAGTGGCCTATTGCACAATGCACCTGTTAATACAATTGATGTTTTTCAACCACTTTACCTGAAGGCTCACCCCTAAACCATGCCCCCTCTGGATTAGACAAATCGGGTAAAGCGTTGAAAATGCCCATCATGGTTTGAAAACTCCCCACTAATTGGTTAACACCCACTACCATTCCACAGAGATATATTTTCATAATCTTGTGGTCATCAACAACAAATATCACTTCAATATCACTGTCACACACCCATGTGTGATGTCGGCTTTCATCAAAATTTCAAGGCTGATCCAACATACTTTAAACATTGAAATGTCAATCTTAACCAGAATGATGGTTTGGGTGAAAACTCAGCATTGTATCAACGTCACCTTACTATCTTAGACATCTATTGGTTTCGGTTGTGATGGCACATCCTTCATGCCTACATAGCACACTGAACTCCTTATTTCAAAAGAGCAAAGAAAATCATGTTTTCCATGATGGTGACCCTTGATGCTGCCCCCTCAGGTCCTAGAACAATGGAAATGGCCATTAAAGACCTTATATTACATGCATTCTGCTTGTTTGTAAATGTTGGTATTTCATTCAGTAATAAAACGTCTGTAAAATAGTTCAGTCACACATAAAATGGAGTACTCCAATATTTATGTTCTGTGTGTTCGTTTTTGCTTATTTGAACGTTGTATTATTACCTTGTTCCTTACAAGTTATTACCTTACCAGTTCAGGTTTTGTTATTACACAGTGTCTGTCTAATAACTCTGTTTATTCGCGCTGTGTGCGCATGTCAAAAAAATATTCCGATTTGAAGCTTTTGACATATAAACGCGCAGATCAACCCAATAACTTTATTTAGCGTACATCTAAATACTACCATGTAAACGTCGCTAGTGATTTTAAAGCTACAGTTCAGCCAAAAATGAACATTCTGCCATTATTCACTCACCCTCATGTCATTACTTAGACTGTATGTATTTCTTGTGGAACATAACTAGAAATTCTGTAGAATCTTCACACAGCTGTTTTCCTTATGATTCCAGGTCACAGTGGGTCTGTCAAGCTCTCAAAAGCTCTCAAATAGTCCATACAACGTGTGTGCTACATTGAGTCTTGTGAAGCCATATGATAGCTTTGTGTGGGGAAAACCTAGAATTTCATCATTCACTGATAATCCTCCTTTGCGACTGCAGCTCTCAAATGTTATCCCCCACTCTGCACATTCAGACTTGCATGTCACGTTGAGCTATTACACTTGTAAGAACCAGTGGCGTTTGGTATCAATGGTGTCAATGACGTCAAATGGGCCATTGTGAATCGACAATGATCTGGATCTGAATGCAACCCAAATGAGAGTTTAGAGTTCAGGCTAATCTAAAGATTATTAGAGAATAACAACTCATCAATTTATTTACACTGTATGTTCCTCACACAAACCTGTTGGAATGGTTTTAGACACTGAAATAGTGAATTTTCCAAGTTAGACAGGTATTGTGATTCAGTGGCCTGATTCTCCTGAGACTGATGGTGACCTGTTCTGCCTAGAGAGATGTATAATTCAAAAACCCACTGAACTTTTGTCCCAGCTGTGTTCTGTGCAATTTATATGATTATTATTACAGCGCTTACTAAGCAGTAGTGTGCTGTATTGTTTGTGCTTTATGTAATAGAATTCTCAAGATTTACATTTCACCGCAAAATGTTCAGATTGAATATCTGCCATGCAATGCCATATCAGCAAAATAATGGAAGAGGATAATAAAATGGACTCTTGACTATTAGCTTGCATTAGCTTTTATGTCTCTGCTGCTGTTATATGATAGTATGCTGCTAGTTCTCTTTTGTCCTTAAATTAAAGCATTTCACCTATTTAAATATCACCGCAACACTGTGATTCTAGTGGATATCAGTCAGGCAGTCCAACTGTGGTCATGACAATTTTTTTTGTAGAGAACTGATTGTAAATCATCTTCATATCTGCCAACCTCAGGTGTGACGATGAAGCTCATGGATGAGGTTGCAGGGATTGTTGCTGCCCGTCATTGCAAGACCAACATTGTGACGGCATCTGTGGATGCCATTAACTTCCATCGTAAGATCAAGAAAGGTAATTAAAAAAATACATACATTTATTGCCTCTTTACATTGTAACAGAGAATATTATTGGTACACGGTTTCAGATTCTCACAGACATCTGATTTTCTTTATGATCCCAGTAAAGGAAAGGTAAAAAAAAAGTAACTTCTGGCAGCTGATATAAATATAAATTGAGAAAATTGTGAGCGCATGGTCTAAGCGCACGGCGCAAGTGCACTTAGGGCATGTCCGAATCCACTTTTGTTAGTTTAACGATGGGAAACGATGGGTCTAAAAGGGTTGTCCCTATCAAGGATATTTTCGTATACGAAAACTGAAACTAAGACTAAAACTATTGGTCAAAAAACATTTTCGTAAACTGAAATAAAATTAAATGCTATTTAACTAAATGAAACTAACAATAGTTACTGAAAAACTAAATGTAATAAAATAATAATTAGCAAAAATAAATAATCATTTTCGTAATCAATAAGCTCTTTACTTTGGCGGAAAATCTGACCTGTGATGGTTTATGGAAATGCCTGTAGCCTATATGGCGCTTCACGCGCGTGAAGTTTCAGATGTGATTAACCGCTGTCCTGTGACGCGCACAATGAAGGACCGTAACGTGGAACACATCGCTAGTTCTCAGCAGCTGTTCATAAAGGTTGCGTCTGTCGCAGCGGAATGGGAAATAGCACAAGGTAATGAGACACAAGTTGGACTTCTTTAAACTTGAGCGCAGCGTTATTAGAATGCCGTTTCATGTGAGAGATGTTTGAGATGTCATGTTTTCATGAAGGTTGAAAGGTGCTGTTATTATCTTTTGTTTTTACAAAACATGTACTGCTACAGTAATGATATTATTATCCATGTGGAGACATTTCCCCGAATACCAGGACACGACACACACACACACACACACACACACACACACACACACACACACACACACACACACACACACACACACACACACACACACACACACACACACACACACACACACCAGAATAGAAAAACATGTACAGACAGCATACTGTAGATAGGCTACTTCATTATTTAATCACACTGGCTTCACAGCAGGTTGTGTTGGCTGTAGTCAGATGAATGGAGCTGGGCTTTTTTTTTTTTATGTACCAGTGGTGACTCTGCTACATTGTACGGCTGAAAAAAAAGTAAACTAGGCATGTTTAACAAGATTTAATCTTTAATATGAATTAGTTTGTCTGACTTTTTCATAGTTTTTTCTTGTATACTTTTAAGTTCCATTTATTTGGTGCTTTGTTCAATCTCAAACCATTATTTTATTTTTATTATTAAGATGTGTGCACAAGAGTTAACTGTAATCTGTGTAAACATTAAACTTTTCTGAAATTAAACGTCTCGCTTTGGTCTACACTGGAAAGGGTTCTGTTTGCTGTGCTAAACTATAATTACTAAAACTGAAACTAAATAAAATAAAAACTAAATAGAAATGTGTTTGCAAAATAAACACTAAACTTAAACTAACAAAACCATTAATGAAACTAACTAAAACTAAAGGCACTCGCGCCTTGGCGGATTCTCTATTTACATGACGGAATTTGATAGTGGTAAGACTGAACGCATCTCCAGAGAGGAAACGGATCTGCTCGTGCGCAAGGTTAAAGCATGCAAGCAGACCATCTACGGGACAAGCCGGATTCCACTATATCTTGATGTACACAATAATAATCTTTTACATTGTAATCCTTTTATTTTTATGTGGCATGTTTGTGTGCTGCTGCACGTCCCTGTGTGTGTAATAAGCAGAGTGTACGCGCGTTGTGGACCCGCTTATAGGCTTACCCGCAATGCCGCACATTACTAACGAGCTCTTTAAATAACAAAAAAAAATATTGCTATTACAGTCTATTTCAGTTGCATCAAAATAGCATCAATAGTGCCAACAATGCACCTGAACACACCTCGTGTTCAGACCAGCATGCCGTTGGGCGAACAGATAGGTGCAAATGCATTTGCTAATTAAACAATGTGGCGCAGGATGTGAAAATGATAACTGCGTCGGGCTGAAACTAGCAAAAAACACTTGCGTCGCGCCTGGGGCTGCATTGCTGGGTTAATAAAGGCCTTCTGAAGCAAAGCGATGAGTTTGTGTAAGAAAAATATTCAAATTTAACATGTTACAAAGTAAAATTCTAGCTTCCGGCCAAACGGCCATACGCAGTCTACTTACGCCTAAAGCGCAACTTATGCAACTTATGACGTCAGAAGTAGCGTAGTGCTTCAGGGCGTAGCGTAAATATCAGCAGTACGTCGCATTACTCGCATTAGTTGCGCTTAGACTTAAGTCAAATCCGTATGTTCGTTTGACTGGAAGCTAGTTATTTTTCTTTATAAAGTTTTAAATATGAATATTTTTCTTACACAAACTCATCGCTTTGCTTCAGAAGGCCTTTATTAACCCCCCGAAGCCATGTGGAGAGTTCGTTTATGATGGATGGATTCACTTTTTTGAGCTTCAAACTGTTGGTTGCAATTCACTGCCATTATCAAGCTTGGAACAGCCAGGATATTTTTTAATATAACTCCAATTGTTTTCGTCTGAAAGAAGAAAGTCATATACACTTAGGATGGCTTGAGGGTTAGTTAATCATGGGGTAATTTTCATTTTAAAGTGAACTACTCCTTTAGCTAACATTCTCCAATGGTTTTATTATCATATTACAGTAGTTTATGATCATATTGCATATTACATTAGAATAGAATAAACTAAATAGGGAAAACACTTGTCACAGTCCTCGTCTGCACCAGTCTGTCTTTGTGTCTGCACTACACTTCCCAGAATCCTCCTCGTCTCCACACCTGTATTCACTCCCTCACTTACCAGCCTGTCCCTCGTTATCATCATCAGTGTCACCTGTTTTCACCTTGTTATGTTTGATTCATGCTTGTATTTAGTTTGCTTCTGTTCAGTCTGTCCTTGTCGGTCGTTGTAGATGTTTTGGTGTTGCGTGAGTTATACTGCCTGTTTGTACCTGCCTGAAGTTTTATTTGTTAGTAAAAGTATTTGCATTGGAGCTCTTGCCTTTTGTCTTCTTCTGCTTGCTCCGCACCGTGACAGAACGACCGACCAAACAAAAGATGGACTCGGCGGGCCATACCCTAACAGACTACCTCATCAGGATCCTGTTTGAGAGAGGTCTCCGCATCACCATCACCCCAGTGATGCCTCCAACCATCTTCGCCACGCCGTCCATTTTCACCCCGGATCCAGCAGAGCCCGCTGATCCTGCGCCAGAGCCCGCTGATCCTGCGCCAGAGCCCGCTGATCCTGCGCCAGAGCCCGCTGATCCTGCGCCAGAGCCCGCTGATCCTGCGCCAGAGCCCGCTGATCCTGCGCCAGAGCCCGCTGATCCTGCGCCAGAGCCCGCTGATCCTGCGCCAGAGACGATTCACGTCCAGCCTGCCCAGCCAGAGACGATTCACGTCCAGCCTGCCCAGCCAGAGACGGTTCACGTCCAGCCTGCCCAGCCAGAGACGGTTCACGTCATGCCTGCCCAGCCTGAGATGATTCATGTCATGCCTGCCCAGCCTGAGATGATTCATGTCATGCCTGCCCAGCCTGAGATGATTCATGTCATCAGGGCCGGCGCTAGCCATTTGGGTGCCCTAAGCACAAATGCTTGGTGGTGCCCCCCCACCCCCCTCACCCACCCAAGGAATAACAACCATTCAGAATTTCTTAGTCTGATGAAGCACAATATAATAATTCTGTACATAATTTGTAGGGCTGGGAAAAGATTAATCGCGATTAATCGCATCCAAAATAAAAGTTTGTGTCTACATGAATGATATATGTGTGTGTACTGTGTATAATTATTTTGTATATACACTACCGTTCAAAAGTTTGGGGTCGGTACGATTTTAAATACTTTTAAAATAATTCTCTTCTGCTAACCATGGCTGCGCTTATTTGATTAAAAATACAACGAAAATCAGTTATAGTATTAAATATTATTCCAGTGTAAATCAGCTGTTTTCTGTGTGAATATATAGTAAAGTGTAATTTATTCCTGTGATCAAAGCTGAATTTTCAGCATCACCAGTGTCAGTGTCTTCAGTGTCAAATGATCCTTCACAAATCAGTATAATATGAGGATTTGATGCTCAAGAAACATTAATTATTATTGTCAAATTTTGAAACAGTTGTTGGTCTGTCAGTTGTACAGTTTTTTTTTTTTTAGGATTCTTTGATGAATAGGAAGTTCAAAAGACTTTTGTAACATTATAAATGTCTTTACTGTCACTTTCAATCAAATTAATTATTCCTTGATAAATAAAAGTATTGATTTCTTTCCTCCAAAAAATTAAAATAAAATTCTCACTGACCCCAAACTTTTGAACGGTAGTGTATATAAATACACATTTGCATGTATGTATTTAAGAAATATTTGTTATTTATATATAAAATATTTAAATTTATATATAATATAAATTATATATAAATATATACAGTATATACATGCAAATATTTCTTAAATATATACGTGCATATGTGTGTGTATTTATATATACAAAATAATTATACACAGTACACACACATATATCATGTAGACACAAACTTTTATTTTGGATGCGATTAATCTTTTCCCAGCCCTAATAATTTGACAACTCTGTGAATATGAAAATAAACAAACACTGAGATTGTGGTTTTTTTTTTTCTAATTGCAGTTTCACCAACAGATGTCGCCCTTGGGCCTTGGCCTCTTGAAAATGAACGCATTATCCGCATAAAACAACAACGAAAAAACGTATCTAAGCGGTCTTCCTTTTCTTCTCAAACAAACTAACTGCATCTTAAACAGCCCAAGTTTAAAAAATGTCCGGGGGAGAAAGCCCCGGACCCCCGTTAAAATAAAAGATTCAACATGCAGGGCTAAAAAAGCCCCGGATCATTTGCACTACTAGCGACGCCCCCTGGACATGCATACACGACGCAAGGGCGCCCGCGCTACAAAACTAACATTTTTATTTAAAACATTGTCT